CCGTACATTCCCACGGACATGCACCCCCACACTTCCCACACAATCCTCACACCCTACAACACCCCCTACACATCCACACCTCCCACACCCTACAAGCCCCCCACATCCACACCTCCTACACCCCATACACACACACTTTGCTTCCCCTGGGTAGAGGCTTTCTTTCTTCATTATTTCTGGTTTTATTTTATGGTAGCGTTGGCCAGAGACTCTAGCCAGAGAGCATAATTCTGATCCTTAATTGGACTGTCCAGCTTCCCTCTCTTAATGGGCAGACATGCTTGTAGGCTGCAGCCAGGCCACTCCTCAAAAATATCAGGAGAAAGCATGACCAAGACCATTGGTCAAGAAGGATTAGAGTTCAGAGCATTGCATGGTTCAGACTTTCCAAATTGAGGTATGGACATGTAATTTTCTAAGGGTATTCCACACCACAGAAGAAATAATTTATTAACCCTTGAATATAGTAGATGAAAATATTGAGCAATCACTTTTTTATTCACCAATAGACAGCAAAGCAAAATGCAAAATGTGCTTTATTTTGTTTTATCCAGACTGGGTGTTAAACCCAGGGCCTCATTATGCCTACCACTGAGCTACCTCCTCAACCCCGAATGTGTTCATTTTATATGTAAATGAGGAGTCTTGAAAGAAGTTGTTTAATCTTTGGGAATCATTTTAATACTCCTCCAGGTATCTAATACCTTATCATATAAAGTTTACTCAAACAACAAATACACTAGGAACTAAAGAGATGACTGCAGAGGTACATGAAGACCAGGGGACCCGCTGGCTTCTGCTTTGTGTTCTTACTGCACATTCACAGTTGATGCTGTCTGTTTCATTTAGAGATGGGGAGAGAGCATTAGGAAACACCGAAGCTGAGTACCATACAGCTATTACCTGCTACACAGGTGGCAGATGTTGGATGGCCCTGAGTGGTAGCTAGGGGAATTTCTCCATCAGTCTCTTCAGGTTGTTTTAATAGTTTAAAAAAGGGAGTTGTAACTAATTATAGCTGTATGAAGAAACTGCTTTAGTATCGACGATCTCTTCAGAATAAGGAAATCCTTATTTCAGGTGAGCTTTGGTTCTTTTTTCATGTGAGTCACTTTGTCATGAGTGATCTCGAAGCCATAGAATTATTGAAGTGAAGGTTATGGAATTCTCTCCCCTTTTTTTTTTTTTTTTTTTTTTTTTTTGAGACATGGTGTCAACTGTGTAGTTTAGTCTAACCTCAAATTCAAGGCAGTACTTCCTCCAGCTTCATTGTGAACATACGGGCATGCATCCCCACATTTGTCTTTGATTTATGATCCTCTTTGTAATTGCCGTTTAAAAATATTCTCATGATGATTTTTTACTAATCAAAATGCAATATTCTCTAGTTCCTTGTTAATACGAAAGGAAAGGATTGTTGTTCTCCAGTGTGAACACTAGAGGGAGTTCAGTCATTTTTGTTCTGAATTGAAAGGAAGACTGGGTTGTAGCCCGAAATAATTTCTGTTGCGTCAACTTAATACAATTTCCTTACCTGAAATTTTATCATTTGAAGTTTCAGATAAATCTTTATTCTTGCTTAAGCACCTGACAGCAGTCATGGTGGTGACTGCCTTTAATCCCAGCACTTGGGAAGTAGAGGGGCAGGTGGATCTCTGGTTTATGTGGTGGGTTCCAGGACAGCCAAAACTATATATAGTGAAACCTTCTCTTTAAAATAAAGAAAAGGAGGTGGAGGGCAGGGGGAAGGAGAGGTAGTTGTCCCATGTACCTCTGGGGTTAATAATGCAAAAAAACAACACAATGTATATATGCTACCTAGCATCATATATCACCTGTGGAATTGGAACAGGATTCTGATTCTCTGGACATTGTTTTAAACTTTGTTTCTTTGAAAAGTTTTAGGTGCTGGAGAGATGGCTCAATGGCTGCTCTTCCAAAGGTTCTCAGTTCAATTCCCAGCACACGGCCATCTATAGTGAGATCTGGTGCCCTCCTCTGGCCTAAAGGCAGGCATACAGGCAAACACTGTATACATAATCAATAAATCTTTGAACAAAGGTCTTAGAGGCTTTCTTCCTGTCCCTTCCTCCTACCCTTTCCCCCGAGACAGCCTCATTTTACAGCACAAACTATTGTTGAACTTGCTCTGTAGCCCAGATTCACCTCCTTCCTGAGTCAACCTCTTGAGTGCTGGGGTTGCAGGTATGCACCACCACATCCTGCGCCCCACTTTTTTTGTTTTGAAAATCACTAAAGAGCTAACATAGTAGCATTTCCCTATAGTCCCGGCCTGGGCAAACTAAGGAGACCAGTTCCAGGAAGTAAAAATTCGTAAAAATGCTGTGCAAAAGGAAAGTTCTCAGGATTCAGCTGTTTGTGTTTAAGTGGGGGAGTGGGGGAGAGGAATCTTCTTTAGCCCAGGCTGGCCTCACAACTCCCTCTGTTCCTGAAGATGGCGCCAGACTTCCTGATCTCCTTCCCTTCACCTGTGTTGAGAGAACAGGCATGCACCATCCCACCTGCTTTATTTGACTGCTTGCTGGGGATTGAACCCAGGGTTTCCTAAGAGTTAGGTGAGCACTCCTACCGAACTGATGGAAAGTGTCACCAGGCCAGTCTTGGGGGAAACTGTAGGTGTGTGTGCCTGGTGGTGTCATAGCTTATCTCTGTTGGGTCCACAGTACATGTTCCTTTGCAGCCAGAACAGTCTGTGAGTTATTCATCAAAACAGTGACACACAGTACTGAGGTGGGCCGGAAAGCCAGCGGCTGCTCTGTTATGTAAGGGGACTTGTGAGGTGAACCTTGCCCAGACAGAGTTGTTACACCCACGGCCATTGCCCTGTGGACTCTCCTTGCTCTTCATCTGTTGAGCTTCACCCCGAGTCAGGTCAGCTGCCCTCCTCCGCCCCTAGCACATCCTCTCTGGCTCTCAGCTTGGCAGTCGAAACAAACAAAACCAAAGAACTGGAGAAACTGAGGGAGTCATGTTCTGTACCTATGCCTTGAGTGAGTGACGTCTGTCTAATTGCTTGACCTCTTTCTGGGCCTTGGCTTCCTCGTATTTAGAACAGATGGTTTTTCTCTTTTCCATCTGCCACCTTCTGCGTTTCTGCTTTCTTTCTACATATTTTCTTACCCATATCTTATTTCCTCTGCCTCTGACTTTTCATCACCTTAGGTGATTTCTCCTTAGTCCCCCTGTTCTGTTTTGCCCCATTCTTCTCCCCGCCTCTCATTTCTTCCTCGTCTCAGAGTGAGGTTTTATTTCTCCTATCTGATGCCAGGGCCCTGGAGCTGCTGCCCATTGTGGAGGAAGAGATTGGACTTTTTCACATGCCATAACGTTTCGGCCATCAAAACTCTTCACTTTCCTTGTGAAGGAAGGAAGTGTGTACTGATGTACAATTAAATGGCAGGTGAACGCGGACGTATTGTCCTGACAGCAGCTGGGGAATGAATTGAATATATGATGGGCTTTCCTATTTCTCATGTTGGTGAGACTGATTTTTCACGTTTTCTTTTGTGGGCAGAGTAGCACGGTACATACGTGAAGATCAGAGGATGGTTGATGGAAGTTATTTTTAACTTTGACCATGTGAGTTCTGGGGATGAAACTCAAGTTGTCAGGCTTAGTAAGTAAGTGCCTTTACCCACTGAGCCGCCTCCATCTCTTAACCTTTATTTACTATAGCTTCATGGTATGGATCTTGGTGGAATATCGCTGTAGTTAGCATTTCCATCCCTTTCTTGGTCAAAATTTTTGTTTTAGTTGAAGTTTAAGGTAAAAGAAAAGGCTTAATAATGTGACACTCATTAAATGTATGTGTATCCGCTAGTTGATTAGTTAAATACTTGCATAGGATTCCTAGAAATCCTATCATGTTAGGTAAAATGTATTTCCTCCCTCTCATAATTGTCTTACAGCCTTAAAAACCAGTGGCATACAACAGAATGTGAACTATTTATGTAATTTTAAGTTTTCTGTGAGTCCCATTATACAAAGAAGTAGAGGGTCTGGAGAGATGGCTCTTTGTGTAAGAGGGAACCTGCTGTGCAAACACCAGGCCCTGAGTTTGGGTCCCAGCACACTCACACAAAAACTGTATGTACATATCTGTAGTACGAGCACCGCAGGGACCGAAGCAGGAGGATCTCTGGAGCTTAGTGTCAGACTAACTCTGAGTTCAGCGAGAGACCCTGCCTCAAAGAAAGAAGGAAGAGCAGAGTAATACAGCAGGATACCTTACTTAGTCTGTTGCATTTGTGCACATCTAAGCATGTGCACCTGATGATGTAGAAAAATCCACAGAATCAATAAAAATGCTCAATGCAGAATATGGACTGTCGTTTCAACACACATGTACCACAATTTTTCACCACCTTTTCTTAAATACCAAATCTTTCAAATCTAGTGGCTACCTTCACTCCTAGTTTATTATAGCACTTAGTACTCACCTGCTTGCAAACTTAGTAGGCATAGGTGGCAGGAGGCTATTTATAATAAACTCCAGAGTCTTAGAAAATGGCTTTAATAAAATGCTTTAACTTAAAAATCAAGTATATTTTATATGTGTGTCTGTCTATGTTACGTGTTTTAGGGTTTTAGAAAAGTCTGAGTGAGGTTACTTTGTAGTGACATCCTGAGAGCTGGCCAGGGAATACTAGAATTTAAATATTGCTTTGTCGGACTGCAGAAGTCTGGCTGAGCGGGGGACACAGTGACGCCGTCCAAGCAGATGTGCATCATCTCCTTACATGACTGCACGGGTGTTTTCTTCCCTGGGTAGCTATTTTTATTTCCACGGATGAAGATGTGATTGGCGTAGGGAATCATTAACTCAATCCCTGTTGTGTGTGACGGAAGCTGTAGTTGACTGTCTTGCGATTGGGCAGGACTTGGTACCTATCAGTGTAAACACATGGCACAGCCTGCCCCATGCCCCTGCTTATCTTCTTTGGAGAGATGGGGCTGAGGCATTTTGAGCAAATCTCATTGGTAAAGTCGTGTGTGCATTGCTTTTTTTTTTTTTTAAAGACCTGTTTGCTTTCAGTTTTAACTGCATCCCTGTCTGCAACAGTTAGCACTTGATGGTCTACAGAATAACTTTCTGTTTGTTGGTGCCTTCAGCCCTGTAGGGCCATGCTAGATAAGCCTCTTCGGTTTTAAGATGTTTTACTTAGAAGATAACAGTGAAGATGAGAAGGCTCAGGAAAGCTCATTCAGTAAAACCGCAGGTGTTTATCGTGACAAGGCCCCTCCTGGCATTCTGGTGAGTTCCATTCACCCATGCCTCCATTGCCTTGCTTGAAGCTGAATCTGGGTAGTCCTGAGAAGGACAGTACCAAGTGAAAGTGGTGGCTACTCCTTGTTTGGAAGATGTGCTGCCATGGTAATGTTCTGTCTTTAAAGTGTTCTGTAGCACAGAGTGCTTGGCCGCCCGCTCTCCCTCTTGCCTTTATGGTATCCTTATTCTGTTTCTTGGTGTTTAGTTACTTCCTGCCTAGAGAAGAATGTGGTTGCTTTAAACTGAGAACTCACTTACAGCTAGAGTTCAAAGACGTGTATTGAGCTCTGTTCTTGGACCTTAGGGTGGTAGTTTAGGGACTAGAAGTCACCTCAGTGTCATGGTCAGATCTCCTGTAGGCTAAGCTACTATTTGAAACTGGCTTTTGTTTGGGTATGTGATACACAAGAGTGACTATAAACAAACAAAAAATGCTGAAGGGGGAGGTAAGTTTGAATGTTTTTAATCTAGTTTTCTCTTGCTACAAGGTGCAAACTCGTACACAGCTTGTAAAGTTGAGTTCTAAAAGAGTCTGCTTTAAGGAAATAGTTAGGTGATGTGAAGCTAGTATCATTTAACTCTGCCCATGGAGCCTTAGAAAGTGATGCATTTAAATGCTCATTTTTAGTTTATAAAATTATTTAGGTTGTGTTTTGCACCTGGATCCTAGTATATAGCGCAAGCAGGCTGACTGTTCCATAGGTTGTCCTTGAACTTACCATCTTCCTGCTTTAGCTCTTCTGAGTACCGTGAAGCCCGGCTTAAATCCTTATTTTAAAGTGAAGCCGGGGCTAGCTAATTTTAGATTCAGGTACTCAGAAGCTCCAAATGAAGGTATTGATGTTGCCTGTGTCTTCTCATTTAATTTAAATTACCTTGATTTCTTTTTTAAAAAAGCATATTTAGCATGAAGTCAACAAAACAAAAAACAGATTATTTCTGAAATCTGTTAACCTAGTTGATTTTAGTATTAAAAGTCTATAAGAATGTTTGTGTCCCATTAGGGGTTTTACTGTGTGATACTTGCTTCTGGATCTGAGATCACTGGTGTCCATATGCAGATGTTTCACTTGCTTGTAACAGCATTATTTGAATATGAATACAAGTCAGATGCTACTGTGGGGGACAACTTTATTTTGAGCTCTCTGTTGTAATATAAAGGATACATGCATATGAATTTGTGCACATTAGTCTTAAACATCAGAGGAAAGAATGTGACCAGACTTAATTCTCTGTGAAGTATTTCTAAAAGTCACTTAACCAGCACACAGACCTGACCGTATTGCAGTACAAGTTCTTAGACGTCTTGCTGTTGGTATGTTTCAAAGGGAAATCAAAGGTGTTTGCTTAGGCTGCGTTTTCTTAACAGTCCCCTTTGCCATTGATGTTCCCTGAGTCACCACCCCACCCCAAGAGAATTTTTTTAATGGCCAGTAGCTGGCATACTAGATTTGGTATCTGCTTGGTAAGCTATAATGATTATCTAGGAGTTTGACTTTCGAATGAACCTGGGTGTGTGCAGTAAAGAATCCTGGCTTTTAAACTAAGCCGAGCTCTAAGTATTGAACCAGGCATATGAATGGATGGATAATAAGACAAGAAGTCCCCCTTTCCTGGCTACCAGACTTACTGAGGAAGTGGGTTTGGAGTTCCATTTTATAAGTGTGGTCTTTGTGCTCTCTCTTCCCAGCCAGTCCTGTGATGAGTTGAGGTTTCTCTACCTCAACCCCTTCTGTTTTAGAACTGGTGCTAGGTATTTTCTAGCCCAGCAGAGGTCCTTGCACCTGAGAGACTATTCGAGAATACTTACCTAAAATGTGCTGTGACAAAACCTCAGGCTGCTCGCTTAGTCTTGAAAGAATTGGACACAATGCTCTGAAGGGTCCAAAGTTAAAATATCACCCTTTTAGGAAGGCATCTCTTTTTCAGTGTTTACGTATTCTAGCGTAATTCTACTACGTTACAAAATCTACAAAGTTCTGGAAAAGGAAACTATAGGCTTACATAGAGTTTCTGTGTGTGATATTGCATTTTACCTAATTGAAAACAGGGCAGATTTTGTTATTTTTCATTGTTTCATATCTTATTCTAGAAACATTTCTTTCCCTCTTCCTTGAATCCAATTTTGTACTTCAAAGGCATTACTAAATTTCTTATGTAACATCCTGGCCAAAGTTTTTTTTTTCTTCCAAAAAATGGTAAAGCAGTCCTGCTGGTGTTATTTTTTTTTTAAGGGTAACATCTTAGCTCTAATGTTGTTTGTTCCTCGTTGCCTTTGGTGGACCATCTTAGCATTAGCAACTTTCCATCTGGAAGGGAGCTTACCTAGAATCTGGTATCAAGTATGGTATGCAGAAGCAGAAGATGGTGAGTTTGAGGCCAACCTGGGATACCTGGTGGAACTGTCTCAAAATGAAAAACAAAAAAGAGATAAAGAAAAAAAATCACCTAAAATTACACCCTGGGCAAACCTGAAGAGAGTTGTGTAAACACAGAATTGTTACCACCTGCAGAGATTGACCTGAAGGGTCAGAGGGCACAAGAGAATGGGATTGAAGAAGCCATCAGCCATTTATACTCTCACATGCTAACAAAGCATGGCCCATGGCCACTACAGACTGAAATTATACGGAAAAAAGCTTCTCTTTAAGGACAGTGAAGCAGGAAGTGTCCCCTTCATCTTTGGGAACTGTAACTGCCTCTGATCGTCAACTTGAAATCCTGTGACATTTCCGAGTCACAGGAAGAGTGCACAAGTGCGGTCCCTGTAATGGGGTTGTATGTGGCCCTAGGGCCTCCTCAAGCATTTCTGATGAGCAGCCAGAGCCAGAGCCCAGGGCGTGGGATCCCTGCTGAGTTCTGCTGCACTTTCCTTTGCTTACGTGCATAAATGGGTTTATCAAACAGAAACAGCAGGGAGTCTGAGAACTAGTTTTTGTTTCGTTTTTAGCACAAAAAAAGTACATTTTCTGTTTCAGAACCCCTGTCTGGTTGCCGTGTGCCCTCAGTCTCTTCCAGCCTTCCTACTCTCCCCGGTTTGCGTAGATTCTTGTTCAGTGAGCGCTGGGCAGACATGCTGTTTGGTGTCAGCACACAGACTGGGGGCATACGTTTTTGACAGAAATACCGCGGAAGTGATTAATCTTTTTAGTGAGTTATCTCTTGATTATTTGATGGTAGTGTCTGCAGAGCCCTGCACTATAAAACAGTTGTCTTCCTTTATGTAAAGTGTGGCTTGGGGACGATACTCAGAGAATGTTCAGATGTTCTGCTTCCCTTAAACTTGTTTTTAAAATACAACCAGGTTGCCCAAACAAATAAGAAACTCAGAATTTCACCGAAACCAGTTGTGTTTTAGTTTTAAGTGTTGCTTTCTTTCTAAAGCAGACACTGTTCTGTCAGACTTATTGATAATTCAATCCTTAGCCGCGAGATCTTGAGAATGTCACTGAACTTTGGGCCTGCAAGTGTTCTAGCTGCCTTGTTAGTGGAAGTGTTATGTACTTGTTAAACCCTATTGGTAATTCATGGAGCTCGTTGCTATCTGAGCTTTCTCAGGCTCCCATCAGATTCAGGGGAAGGGCTATCAACCCACAGAAGTCACACAGTTTACACTTTCTCAGCGTCAGCTTCACTTAGCTGTAGTATTTAACTAAGGCTCTTTCTAAGGGGTTGAGAGAGGGTGAGAAAATGGAAGACAGGAGGATAAATGAGATTGAATGTATCGTTTCCTGGGCCTACAACCTACATGAATGCTAGTCTGTACCTAGGCTGAGACTGTATTTTGACTATAAAAGAATCGTATTGATTCTTGACTTAAAGGTCAGGGCATAAATAGAATTTCCAATAGAAAAGGATGTTTCAAAAGAAATTGTAAATTATACTACCAGCATATTTGGTAGTTATCCCTGAAGTAGAGGATATGGGAGTAGAAATAGCTTACTAACATTGGGTGACTTTATGTGAAGCCAAGGATTGGACTTCTGTGTTTATCTTGGAGATCTTATGGTTATCAATGACCACTACAAATATAGGTTAGTTGTACAATTATCATATTGTAGTAGAAGGTTTAAGATAGGGTGCCGAGGAAGAAAGTTGAGAACTTGTCCCTTGAAACATATATTTCTGTCTGGCAGTGGTGGCACACACCTTCAATCCCAGCACATGGGAGTCAGAGGCAGGTGGATCTCTGTGAGTTTGAGGCCAACGTGGTCTACAGAATGAGTTTCAGGACAGCCAGGGCTACACACACACACACACACACAGCCTGTGTTGAAAAACAAAGCACACACAAACAAATAAACCTTACATTTCTGATCATAACATTATATCTAAGCCTACTGGTAATAAAAGGGCTGTCTTTAATATGTGCTGCCATGTGGAGAATCTTCATGGCCTTTTGAGATTTTTTTCCCACACTTATCTCAGTAAGTTCTTAGATGAAGTAAAAAGATAGTGAGTGACGTGTCAGGACACTTGACTCTGTAGCTGCTTTTCTTCAGGTAGGATGCCTATCCTCTGTGGGCCCTGGTTTTCAGACCTCATACAGTCCATGACATATGCCTTGTCTGATGGTGAGAGTAAAACACTCATTTGGGTCATGTGTGACTTGTCCTAGATGTACATGGAGTATGTATGACTTGTGAGTAAATGAAGAATTTGACCATTAGGTGCACATCTCGCATAGGAACATGAAGTACAGTTAAAGAAGTAAACTCATTTTGAAAATAATTTGAGATTTCTTTAACAAGAAACTCCCCTGAGATTTTAAGATACTGGCCTACTTTGGGCATGGTCTCATGAACTATAAATGCAGATGAAAAGCGTGTGCGGACCCCTTGGCTCCTGGATTTGGTTCCAGTTCCCTGCTCACACAGGGGACTGCTGATCACTGCTTTTTATGTGAGTCTGCCCCTAAATAAATAAACCTTTATTACACTCCATTCTGGGCTAGTGTGGGACTGTTACCTTAAAGAAATCTAAAC